TCATGAAACCTCATTTAAAAATCGCTAAAACTTCATAATATAGACAGTCCGATGTTCTCGATTTGATGTTTCTTCAATGAACAGTAATCTTTTTAAAAAGCTTTTTAAATTACTTTTAAATTTTAAAAGTTAAAAGAAATTGGAAAAACGTATCTGGGAAGTTGAGACGTTTCATCAGCCATGTAAATCGGCATAGGCAATAAAGTGATGGAAAAACCAGGAGGGGTCCGCCACCTCCTAAATAAATTTTGCGATGTAAAAGAGAAGAAAAACATTGTTTTGATCGCTAGTCTTCTGAGAACATCCCTATTCCGAGTCGTGAATACGGAAAAATAAGAAAAGTAAAACTTGTAAAATTTTTCGTAAAATCCTTTTTTCTAGCGAACAGACAAACACAAATGGTGACAAGTCATAGAAGTCGACCTTTCTAAATACATACATTAGGATTTTTTTTACTTATGATATCTCAGAATCGCGTATCTAAATTTTATGTAGTTTTGCGAGTCATCTTTCGGCATATTTATATCTAAAAAGGAAATATACTTAGGGCATACCAGAAGTTCGTAGGGTGATACCATAATACCTTATGATGAGCTTTAAGTAACTTTCTTTCTATATAGTTTGATAGAGAAAAGAATGTTCTATTTTTCTATGCCATTTGATCATACGTCAACTAATATCATAATAATAAATATTCGATAAGATCTGTTTCGTTTGCATACGTGCTGATTATATAAATACTGATGAGTATTTTTTGAATAACTTTTGACAAAAACAAGATAGAGAGCTGCGGTTTTCACTACTGGAAAGAGTAGATAAACGCATCGAACAGTATATTCCAGGGTTTCCTGATTTGTTCTTTGTAAGGTTTTCGATTGGCTTTTTTAAGAACAAACAAATCTGGTAAGTTATTTACAGTGAATTTTGAATTATCAAATATAAATTCAAACCATGAATCGAAGATCTACAAAGTGCGAAAGGCTGAGATGAATAATATGTGTTCTAGTCGAGCCTCTAATACGATTTCCTAGCGAAATCTATAAAGACCATCACTATTTTTTGCTTTTTCGTTTTTTCATAAAAAAACTATTTTTGCAACAGTTAGAAAATTGAATAAAAAAAACATTAGAAATCATATTATAAAATCCTGGAATCCTGGAAAAATACTCATCAGTATTCATATAATCAGCACGTATGTAAACGAAACAGATCTTATCGAATATTTATTATTATGATATTAGTTGACGTACGATCAAATGGCATAGAAAAATAGAACATTCTTTTCTCTATCAAACTATATAGAAAGAAAGTTACTTAAAGCTCATCATAAGGTATTAAGGTATCACCCTACGAGCTTTTGGTATACCCTAAGTAGAAAAAAGCCAAAACGTACCGAGCTCTCCCGCAAGTACTTATCTGAGAATCTGAAGCACGTCGCAACCTATGAATGTCAAACAGGATGATATTCCTAAGTAGGTTTTTTTCAAGTTCGTTGCCTCTGTATGTTAAGCGATTTAGGTATTCAACCTCTTGTATTTTGCAGTCGAAAAATGGACGTGGTTCATGTGACTGCTTGTATTTCTGTAACTGCAGCAGTAAGTGTTTTATCAATGTCAGTGACTGGAGAGCATGTCGACCAGTTACATCTGCTCTACTGGAGTGTGACAACTACCGGGAGAATTGTAAGAAAGAAAGAAAGAAGACACAATGAAGCAGAGTGATAATGTTTGCTTTCTGTAAATCAAAGGACCACGTGCATATCTCAGTTTTATCCCTCCTCCTCGTGGTTTAGCATGGTATTTCGCCTCTCCCCATCCTCATCCGTGACCATATAGTATCTGAACAGCCCCAGCACAGTTTTCAACACCGAACAGAGCTCTACAAATACCTAAAAAAAATCATTTTACACATGTTGATGAGAGAACTATAGCGATTATATGTGTCGCTGGCTCCATGATCACGCCATTTTATCGTAAATAGAAACTCAATTCTTTTGTACTCCAACAACGAAAGGCGTTATGAGAGAGCTAGATAAATAAATTTTAAAGTGCACGGACCTGTTCGAAATTGCCCCAGAAACAATTCTCATATCTAAATATTTGTATTTTGATATTCATAAAGGAAAAAAGCTTTATTTGCCCCTGATAGCATTTAATCAAGTCAAATGAAACATATTCGAAATCGCAACGTAGCGCATACGTTGCGGAAAGCAAGTTCAGGTTGATAAATATTTTAATAACGGTTAATCTCAGTCACTTCTTTCACTTTAGCTGGTTACCAATAATCTTCAGTATTGGAATAAACAAAACGTAGCGTATTATGCGCAATACAAAAGCATTGCAGATGCAGGAAAAATTATGTCTGGGACCAGAAAACTTTAAAAAGTGGTTGGGCAAGTACGGCTCGGCCATAAAAATTCCAGGATTGGACGGAACGTGCTCGATAAATCCCACGTTTGGTCTGACTGAGCCGGGCTGGTTCGGAAAGTTAGGCACATCATCAGGTAGCGCCAAATATTTCCGGCCCATCCACATCTTTAGCTAGTATGCCCCTCACAGTGCTACCGTTTATCTGTGATTAATTAGAATATTTTCCAACTTGACAAACTATCATCCTGTAGAGCAACAGTCTTCTACAAACTGGTATACTTGCTCAATTGTCGCCAGCTCGTCTTCACTCTTTTAGACAACTAAACTGGAATTAAAAGAAGGTTTTCTGAAGATCTCCTATCAAACCTTGACTACATGGTATTGGAATCTCACCAAACCTCTAGGTTTGTTCAGTCTTAAGTTCTCTATCCAACCACGTGTGAACCAAATCTCCGTCTCTTAGCCAAGCTGAGCTACATTCATTTGAAAAAAAGTTGAATCTTTTAAATTTTAAATTAAGTTGAAAAATTGAAATTTTTAGTTGAAGCCTTGATTTCTTTTTCAAAATGTTCGCCTTTCGGCGCTGAATTCGAATATGTTATTCAAAATGTTTCATGTCCTAATGGTGAATTTTAAAATCAATTGTCGCCAGTTAGTCTTCACTCATTCAGAAACGTTTTTGCAGTGACACAAAGAAAATATATGAACTACTGAAAATAGTTCTCTACTTCGAAAGCTTTCACGTACAGTCGCTATAGCTGACTCGATCACACGCCGAGTAGGATGAGCAAGAGGCAATGTTCTTCGTACGATACTAAGTGCCTTTTCCCAATATTTCAATGCTTTCTCATAATCACCTTGATGGTGATAAAGTGATCCGATGTTATTATATGTTGTTGCAATATCAGGGTGATTTGGGGGAAGTGAAATCAATCTAATTTCAAGAAATTTTTCATAAGATTTCAATGCTTTCTCATAATCACTTTGTTTGTCATAAAGTGATCCGATGTTATTATATGTTGTTGCAATAGATGGGTGATTTGGTGGAAGTGAAATCAAATAGATTTCAAGAAATTTTTCATAAGATTTCAATGCTTTCTCATAATCACTTTGTTTGTTATAAAGTGATCCGATGTTATTATATGTTGTTGCAATATCAGGGTGATTTGGGGGAAGTGAAATCAATCTAATTTCAAGAAATTTTTCATAAGATTTCAATGCTTTCTCATAATCACTTTGTTTGTTATAAACCATTCCGATGTTATTATATGTTGTTGCAATATATGGGTGATTTGGTGGAAGTGAAATCAAATAGATTTCAAGAGATTTTTCATAAGATTTCAATGCTTTCTCATAATCACCTTGTTGGTGATAAACCAGTCCGATGTTATTATGTGCCGATGCATGAGCACTTTGATCTAGCGAGGTGTCATCGAGCAACATATGGAAATATGGCTCTGCTCTACTATTTTCACCCATTCTGATCAGCAACAGACCCAACGCGTTCAAGTGGTTCGATTCACCAAGTTCACGCTTTATATGGTTTCTTAACACGCTTAACTCTATGTCTTCGTCTCCATTCAGTTTTAGCTTAACATTCCAAACGCCTTCTTTCTTCATCTTCTTTATGAAGGTAATCCGAAACACGGTGCCCATCGAAAATAGAATTTCATCTTCTGCACTAAAAGCACTCACTGTTTTTATATTTGAGAATGGTTGTCTACATTTCTCCATGTCAACCGTCATTTCAAACAGAACTGGCGTAGTATCTGATCTGCCTAATGAGCTGCGCGCAAAGCGCATAGCAACGGCTTCTTGAGCACTTGTTGACAAGAAGCTGCTCATCGATAAAAGTCCTCCTACTTTCTGTTGTAAACTTTCGAACTCCTTGTTGGGTATCCCTAGTCCACGATAAACAGTGATTGTTCTTCCGAGATGAGTAGTCGATGAGTTTTGCAGATTACGAAGCTCCTCGTGAAGGTCTTTGATGAAAAAGCCGAGCTTGAATAACATGTCAATGTCTTGTGTTCGTAATGCTTTATTTAGCATTCGGTAGAGAAAGGATTCTTTCGTGTACCACTCGATTGCTTGCTCTTTCGAGTACGTTTCATAGAATTGATCGATGACATTTAGTTCTTTATTATTGCCTGCATAGTCCATTCGACACAAATTAATCAGTTCTTGTTTTGTTGAGTCTTTGTAAGCGAACTGAGTTAAAATCTCAACAAGTAATTGGAAATACATGAATGATGCTTCTTGTTTGTTCATTTCTTTACCAGGTGTGTTCGGTGACACAGCGGTCATCGACACAAGATTATTGGAACTAACTGCCACATCTTTCGTTAGTTGATCACAGATATCATCGATATTCGTGGAAACAGCACATACTTTCTCGTAGCGTTTAGCCCACTCTTCGTGCTACCCTTTACTGAAGCAGGACACATAAATTGCTTCTATTTGTGGTTTGTCATGAATCAGTGGCACAACAGATTCGCCTAACGAGCCAGATACGATAAAATATATTTTCTCTGATTCAAGTGAGACTATGTGATCGATACACTTTTGCTTATCCTCGAAAGTTTCAAAGTGATTTATTGCTTGACGCAGACGAACTTTTGCACTCAAATTATCGGTTGTAGAACTAACGTTCAAGTCAAGCCAAATGATGGTGTTCACTTCCAAATTTCGTCGCTGTTCAGCCCAGCTCTCTTGGTGAGAGGGGCTTCGAATATGTGCAGCATCCGCAATGGAAGTTAATGCCGACTTTGGAGTTTTGTTGCTCATTGTTTGCTAACTGTCTGTTTAGTGATGTTGATCCTTAAAACAAAGAGAAGTAATACTTAGTTTTCGGTGAATGGTGCATATGTGATTTCCATATCTCTCCTGTTTTCTCTTTTGTTTCGTCATTCTCATGTAAATTTAAGGTGAGAAGATAGTGGTCACGCATTAGTGTGGTTCAGTGATGAATTTATTTGTCTGCTAATTGGATAGCTATATCTCAAATCGGTATGCGGTATATTTTTCTTATATGAAATGATGCAATGAAGGCTTCTGCACAAGCCATTGAAAACCACAGGTCTCTATCAGTTTCTGTTCTTGACACTTGAGGATCGATGCCATTTTATTTTCGTTTCCCTTCTGTCCAGTTAAAAACTATTTCATACCATGTCTGGCAGGAAAGTTGGTTAGATCATAGGATAAGAACTGAGCGGTTTCGGGGAGTAAATATAAGTTAGTTTTGTGCGTATGTGTTGCTACGACATCCATTTATTCTGTACAGGCATGCACCGGTTTCGGTTAAACGAACTTCTTTCGCAAGGAAAACAACTAATTCATCGCTTTTGTCCGGTGCGGTGATGAATCCGCGTTCGCTGCGAACAGAAAAATAATGCAATTCGAAAAGAACCACAGGAAGACCTACAATCAACTGATCGCCGTATTGGAAATCGAAGGTGCCGTAATTTGAGAGATGTAGGAATGAAGGAATCATCCTGTTGAGATAACAAGGAAGCATAGTTTCAGAGATGCAGGAATGAAGGATTTTTTTATTATAGACTTAACAAGTTTCGATGTGTTCCAACTCAAAGATGAGACTACTTTGATAGACGCATCGATTTTATTTCTACTGTTATTTAAGTATTTTGACTTTTCTAATTGACAAACTGAAGGAGAATCACGGAAACACGG